ATCGGAGGAAGGTTCTTCGCGAAAGGCTTCAGTGCCAGACAATGGGGCCCGTCAATAAAACAATGTAATTCTGCAGTAATTTGCAACGATCAGTTGTGGCATAATGGCTCCATAGTCTATCGTTGAATAGTTAGGTTACGGTTCAAATTTTATCGGTCCCCTCTAGTGTAAAAATTTCAAATAGTAACCAACAAAAAAGTGTAAGAGTGGGTCAAGAGTATCATTGTGTGTATATTGACCCTCATTAAACTCTATAGTGATATAATGGGAGCCTCGCCTATTTAACTATTTTCTTTTTAGTTTATCGATATTAGTTTCTTGAATTAAGCTGATTGTAAAATACTTGTATCATTATTTTTAGTGCTTAGAAGTCTCAAGTTCTAGGCTATTTTTACATTTGTTGTCACTGATCAAAAGTCTCTAGAGTTATTGTGAGTAGACTCCGTGTGCATTTTCTTGGTTGAGATAGATGGGAAGGAACTCTACAAACTAAATTCGGATCTCACAATCGAAACTAAGAAAATACAAGTTTTGAATGTGTAGTGTGTTTTTGTTGATTTATTCACGCCCCCCCCCCCCCCCCCCCCCCCCCCTTTTTTTTGTACAAATAAATATATAGATTTGGATTGAGGAAAGCATTCACCAAGTGTCTTTTGTGACAAAAGTAAGAACAAGTGTGCAGACACTAAAGACTAAGAGTGTGTTTGACATGACTTAAAAAAAGTGTTTTTGAAAATTTTAACTTATGAAAAATACTTTTTTTAAAAAAATAGTGTTTGACTTAACTTATTAAAAATACTTTTTGATAAGTAAAAGTAATTTCAGCACTTAAATAAATTAATACAAAAATAAAAATAATTAACTTTTACTTTTAAAAATCACTTTTTATTTTTACTTCGCATTTTCTCCTCACTCCCCTGATATCTCTATGCAAGTCCCCGATATTCATGTAGCCGCTTTCTTTCTCGACGCCGACGCCAGCGCGGCAATATATTCTCTCGTCTCATCAACCAATGACACTATCTTTTCTCTCGCCAACTACCAACGACGCCGGAACCGTCTTATCTCTCACCGATCTTTGTTGTATGTTGATTTAACCAAATCCCTTCAAGCGAAGTACAATATCTTCTTTGTTGTTGGATAATGTATTTTGATTTGTAATTTTTTTTATTTTTTGATGATAAAATTTCTGGAGATCAAGGAGCTGTCTATGGTATCAATTTTTGATGTATTTGGGAAAACTGTTTTTTTATTTTTTTTGATCCATGATTACTATGAAAATCACTATATTATTTTACTTCCATAATTCATCGCTCTTTCTCACATTTAATCTTTAGCAAAATTGGACAGTTTGATAGAATGCGCACCAACTGTTTGATAAAATGACTATCAATTGAACAAAAGCACAGTACCTCATCATGTTCGATCTGTTTTTCTAAGGCCAACAGTAAGCAATTTCCATCATGTGTGGATGTTTTCAATCGTTCAGTGTTGTGTCAGCTAGTTTTCTAGGGCTTTAATGCATGTATTCTGGTGTTTTCTTGGACATTGTTTGAGGGTTTTGTTGACTTCATTTTGGTGGGTTTAACTAGCTATCGAATTCGAGATGATGGAGGTGAAGCTCTTGCTATTTAGCTGTAGATGTAGGATGCACTGTTGAGATGCTAAACTGTTGTGATTTTGTGATTTAGGTTTTAAATGTGTTAATTGAAAATTTTTCTCCAATTCATCAGACTTGAATAGGAGATTGATCGTGGTTTGAAAGTTTGTTATTTTTTGGATTTAAATACTTGTTTCTTTTAGGAAACAATGATATCTAGATTCTGCTAAAATTATAAATCTGGATATATTTTAAATCAATTGAGAGAACTCTTTGTAATTCTATATCTGAGGCTAAGACTGTCTTTGAGGGTTGTTAGTGGACATGGACTTTCGAATCAAACTACACAAATTCATTTGTTTTGAGATTGTATATTTTATTTTGCTGTCTATTTGTGGGTCTCATGCATAAAAAATAGAAAGAATATAAGTTCACATAATTTACTTTTTGACTGGGTATTGAAAAAGGTAGGAATCATCAAGACAAGATGGCCAAGCCAACTAAGAGATGAATGTAAGGACAACCATGTAGGACAGCAAGCAAGGACAATGGACACTTTCTTTGAAAACCCTTGCCTTTCCAATTCATCTGTTGAAATTGTGCCATAAGACTGGACTTGGCAATGGTATATGTTATCAACGACACCATAAAACAAGAGAAATACAGAACATAACAATCTGAGAGGGTGATTCTCTCCTTGTTTGTTTGTTTGTGTGAGTGAGATGCGTAGGAGAGGAAGAGGGTGTTTTTCTCTGTGTGTGTGTGTGATATACTCTTACATTGTGTTTGGTTGTGAACTTGTATTTCTGTGAGTGTGTCTTTGTTAGCTGGATGTCAACTCTTCATTGTTCATATCATGCCCATGTTGTAGAAGAAAATATGTATGCCCATGGTTTTGAGCATTAAAGAAAAGATTTTCAATTTTACCGCTTGTCACAATTACATAAGATTTCACGGCGTCAAAGGCATTTTATTTGCAAGATATGCTAATGAAGATATGGAGTTAGAGGAGGAAGGCAATGTAAACTAAACTATTTTTGAAGAGGATATTGATTTGTTAGATACAAATCCAATATATAGAAAGAGAGAACGTGCTTCAGCAATTTTAAGGGACAATCAAGCATGATTTTTGATTGTATTTACTATTATCATGTGTTTTGCAACTTTTGTATGTCATTGAGATAGTTGGACTATGTAGTTTTTTCATAGGATACCTTTATTAATATGATATTTTTGTGTATGATTTTTTTTTTTTGGGTGTATCATTGTATGTGTACTATGTGTTTGTATGGGTACATTCAATGCTATTAACAGTTGTGATACAAATAAGTGTTTTCACATTTAAACGTGTTTTTATATAAAATACATTAATTTAAGTATTTTAAAATTTGAGTATCCAAACAATACTTATTTAATAAAAAAATTTTATTTGTAAACACTTTTGATAAAAATTTATTTAAAAAATATTTTTAAGATTTCATAAGTCATCTCAAACACACTCTAAACCTCTTTACTTATGAACAAATGGTAAGTCTCGACACATGCCCACATTTACGACGAAATATTGGGTATCACCGTAATATAATGTCAAGTGTCACTCTCTTATAATAAACTTACAAGTCTGCGAGTGAGGTTCATCTTGCCTACTTATAAATTTATTATAGAATAGTAATGTTTTTAAACTTGATAATTACAATTGTCGACTCGTTAGTCACGGGCTGGTCCGAAATTCCAATGAACCTAAGTCAGCTCTCCCCATGTGACGGTCCATGGACAGTCCAATAATTAGCAGGTAGGACTTTGGACCACAGTCCACGAAATTCGACTCATTCGGCCCAACTAGAGAGCCTGACTCACTGGTTTTAAAAAATCTAAAAAGATATTTAATTTGGCAAAAAGAAAAAATTTAAAAGGATTGTTCTTAATAAACAACCTGACATGTTATCAATCAAGAAAAGAGAGGGCGAAGTAAAAAGAAAGGAAGCATACAACATCCAGTGGAAATTGTAAATTTACCAAATAATACTCGTAGTTGTGTCATCTATTAACACCAACACAACATATACTCTAATACTAGTCACATAGCAAGGGACCAGAGGTGGAAGCGAAAGAGAAAGCGGAAGTGTAAAATTTGTGAGTGTTTTAAAACTTTTTTACATTCCATAACAGTGATAAAAATACTCACAATAGTGATCAGAATATCCACAAATATAATAAGCAGAGATATGATACCAAATTTTTTTTTTGGTATCATAGAGAATTCCTACTTTTTGGGCACGAATTACATATGCACATTCCTTGGTATTATCAAATAGGTATATGTAATCACCATTTCTTGAGACAGCTTTTCTAGGAGGATTAAACTTTTCTAGGAGTATTAAAGTTAGGCGCACTCTCTCAAACAGTGTAAGAAAATCTTATTACTTTTTAGTAAATTTTTATGGGAGAATTACACTTAGATCCCCTTAAATTTGTCATTTTATCACTCAAACCCCTTGACATTTAAAATATTACACATAGACCTCTTGAGGTTTGTACGCACCTAACACTTAGGCCCTCTTGTAAATATATCAATTAATAAATTATACTTAGACTCACATGAAGTTTGTAAGTATACCCTTTAAGTTTAAAATATTATACTTAGACAAAAAATACTATAATAAAAGATAAAATATCAAATATTTTAAAATTTACAATCAAAATTCATGTTCTATTGTATCATTTATTGAAATAAAATTCAAACTAAAAATTAAATTTTAAAATATTTTAAAATCGTAATCATAATTTAAAATATTTAATATTCTATATTTGATTAAAGTATTTTTGGTTTAAATATAATATTTTAAATTTAAAGGGTCTAAGTATTATATATACCTACAAATTTCAAGGGGTCTAAGTGTAATTAATTAATAGATATATTTACAACAAGGGTCTAAGTGTTACACTCGTATAAACCTCAGGAGGCCTGTTTATAATATTTTAAATGTCAAGAGATCTGAGTGATTAAGTGACAAATTTCAGAGAGTCTGAGTGTAATTCTCCCAATTTTTATTGGTATATGATTAAATTGAAGGTAAATGTATCATAATCTCTTGAAATCTGAGAAAAGTAGTCATCTAGCTCTTTTCTAAACTAAAATTGTTTTGAATCCTAAGAAACTCTCTTGAGTATAACTTGAGATGCTTTTGGATATCTCTTGAAGAAAACTAATTTTTTATTCGATGAAATTATTTTTATTGATGAAAGAACAAGACGAAGTTATTTTTTAAGGAAGATGAGATGAAAATATTTAGCTCAAAAGCAAGTAACAGAACAATTTCAGGCGTGTTAACTTGAATCAAACACATCAAAGATTACATATAACACAGTAATGAGGCTGTTGCTGCAACACAAACATTGATTACGCCGGTTGAGATGGATTTGGCTCTGCAGTCACGTTCCATCCGATGACGACATTGGGGATGATGAGGGCAGCCACATTGGTTACTCCATTGTAGATCCAAACATATCCACGCTTGAGTATATTTCGAGCCAATATTATTGGTAAAAATACCAATACAGCAAAAATAATGAGCTGCCCACGGAAGCGTGGTGGGAGGATAACCGATCCTAGTGAGACCGAAGAAAGAACTCCAGCTACGAGAATAACATGGCTTAAGAGTATTTGCAAGTATTTTGGTGTTTGAATTTGATTTCTTATTCCCATAGCGAGGCAGTAGATGGATGTGGCTATACAGAAGCACCACATATTGATAGGCCGAGCTTCAAATGGATCCTTACCTTTGGATTGATACTGCATGGTGACCAGGGCAGCTAGTAATGGCACCAGATACTTGAAGACCACATGGCATGGAGGAGATGATGATGTGAACTTTTGCTTGCTTCCACTATCAGAAAAATGAAAATCAAACTGTTTTAGATCACAAAATTTAAGAAACTAAGGTGCCAATATTTTTCATGTCAGTCGTAGTCACCTCTGTGTTTTGTCTCTGACTGAGGATTATAACTTGTTTGTTTGTAATAGCTTTGATATGTTTAAATAAAGGTGTAAAAATATAATATGACCCGTTATACGAATACAACACGAAATTGTAAGGTTTGGGTCTTCAATAAACTACTCATTTTGTAAACGAGTAGATCCGACATGACACGATTAATAAATGAATCGATGATGACTGAAACCAATAAAAAAAAATACACGATACGACTCGTATTTAAACTAATTATACACGACATGAACCCAATATGACATTATTCATTATACATGAATTAATAAACAAATCGGGTATGAGTGTAGTGTTTTTTAACACGAACCCGCTGAGACCCAACACGATCTCACTTCATCCGATGCGATCGACTGGCCTATCTTCAAATGTCATTTATGTGGCTCAAGCCTTTTTAGACCTAATGAATATGAATCACCCACTATTTTTAACGATATATTATTTAACTAACCTGCTTGCATAGCGAGGAAGAAGATCATTCTTGCTTATGCACATTATCATTCTCCTTTTGTTCATTCTTCGCCGAACAATCATAAATCTCTTCTTCTCTCTACCATTGTCATGACTTGTGATTTCATGGTCATATTCCATTTTGAATTGCACCCGACCTGTTTCAGGTTCCTGCAAGTCTCCTCTAAAACACAATATATGTAGGGTAGTCTTGTGCAATCTGTCTTCCAACCTCGACTTGGAAAATTCCACTTGCAAATCTCTATTGCAATCTCTACATGGTCCATGGAAAATGACACTTGCAATACTTACTTGAAAAATGTCACTTGCAATCTCTATTTACAATCTCTACGTACGTAGTACATGGAAAATGACACTTGAAATTTCTATTGCGATTTCTACATGAAAAATAATTTATTGACTCTGTATTTTGGAGACTTACCTTCCACAAATATCTACCTGAATATCTAGTTTTTAGATCTTATTGTACCCTAAAGATCTAACATAATATCTTGATCTAATGATATAATAGTTGACAAAATTCAAGAATATTACCCAGTAATCATAGTTATAATAATATTATTGGACTATAAATTAGCACACGTTATTAAGTCATGATATTAAATTTGATAATATTGTAAGTTACGACTCGTATAGTATAAAACAAAAGTAACTATTTAATAGTAATTGATCTGTTTTATAGAACTTTAAAAATAGTCATAATACATTAGGATGGTCTCATATAACTTTAAAAAATAGTAATTTGTTGTGACTGAATTGTAAACTCATCTGATTAAATGGTACTATTTAGTACCATAAACTCTCTTCCTAAAGATTCGTCCAAGATCGAGTTTTAAAAAGTCAAGTTTTGTTTAAAGACACTTCAAGGATCCACCAAGTCAAATATGTGTGTCCAAGAATCCGTCAGCTGGCTTCACGCATCATTCATGGATCAAATCGTACAATAGATTGCTGTTCGGATAGAGCCATATTAATGACTACGACCTCTTTATTTT